AATCTCGTGAATTGTTAACGAAAACTCCGGAATGCAGGCTTGGTTATGAGGAACTACATTAGTAGGATTGAAATACTGGTCATCATGAAGCATAATACCAAAATGTTTCAGCCCCGCCAGAGTACCGGCTTTTAAACCTACCTCGTTCCGGTCTTCCTCAAAATCTCACTCGCTAAAATGACTCCTTACATAGCATGAAGTATTCCACCGATCATCAACGCGCTTACACATCCAAAGACTTATGCAGAAGTGTGCTCAAAATATATTTGGTTATGCAAGCGGCACTCACCGATCGTTCTTGCGGAACTCACTCGTTCCGTTGTGCCTTACGGACTCTCTCTCTGGAGCCCAACCGGCAGCCGCACAGCGGCGCATGATATCGGCAGTTTGGCTCGAGTGAGAGCCCGTAAGGCATACGGAACGAGTGAGTTCCGTAAGAACGATCGGTGAGTGCCAATCTACCATTCCATATTCCCGATCGAAAACCGACGAGGTAACGGGCTCGTTGCCTAGTGGTTAGAGGCGTGGACTTCTAACTAACAGGTCACGAGTTCGAGCCTCTGGTGTTCCACTCTTCGGGGTTGGGTATGACTGGCTGACGACGGCTAATAAGCCAAAAATGACCATTCCAGTCTCCCTTGTCTTTGTCAGTAATACCATTCTGCCGATATTTTGTTATGCTTATTTGACGGTAGATTATGTTTTTAAGATTTTTTACTTAAAGAAAGAATATTAGTTGACTTAAAAATTTTTAATCATGAAATTGATAAGACTGTAGAATGCCAATTGCAACAACATTGCATTTGTCATTTTAGTAATGCCCATTATGAAGCACATAACATAATCTCCATCCATCGATGCTTAAGTGTATGTTTATTTATACTGCATTTAAACTGCAAAAGGAACTCCGAAACAGGTTTCTATCAAAAATTGCTTTCAGTTTCTGAATCCGATTAACATTCGTCAAGTAAAATAGAGACTACCTGTACACACATTAACCCCTCCATTTCATAGAAAGATTTGACTACTTTCTTGCTCCACCAGGCTTCCCTCCAGGGCCATTTGACTTTCGACTCAAGTGGATAACGATACCAACTGAATTTTATCGCAAGCATTGGGAAGAATTCGGCCTTAATAAGAAGTGGAGGATGCATTGTGCGCAACGATGCAGACAACCAGTGTTGGTGAAATCATTTTTATTTTGCATTTAGAGCTTCATTCGCAAATTGCATTTTGACTTTACCACGGAACATAACCATTGCGAATATTTCATCCTTGAAAATGTCTTTCCACTCAAAAACCCTTGTATTTTAATGCTGCCCTGAGTTCATTTTGGGAGAAACTCGTGGTTGGCCGCGGTCGTCTAAGTCTACTAATTCTTCCGAAGAAAACACGAATTTACTATTTAGTGTAGGCGATGTCAAAGCGCTTATCGAATTCTCTTTTAACTAGACTGTTATATATGTGTGAGAAATAACATCCAGTATTTGATTTGACTTCACTTCAAACCCCAAGTGTACGTACATGCGCCAACTGCTGATTGCACCATAGAATGCAATGCCAGTTTCCTAAATTGGTCATGCCGAGAACCGGAAACGTGGTCTGAAGTTTCCCAGTGGCAAATAAAATAGCACCCTCTACAACTGTTTTGATCTCACTTCAAAAGTTCGCCGATGTTGTTTCCTCCAAAACTGAAGATTCCTAATTAGTAGTAAGTGTTTTGCTACTTCGTAAATCCGTCAAGAATTTGCGTGATTCATCCCGCATTACCGCATGTACCGTATTTCATTTACTTGATTCGTTTCGTTGAACCACATCAGAGGGTTTGTGCAGTTCTCTGTCAGACGAGGAAGACGGTTTTAAGCCTTGTTTTAAAGTCGTATCTACACCTGACCATGCGCCGTGCGTGCAAATGGAAGGCATCTGAAGGTCGATCGTACTGTCTCGCGCATCGTGATTGGCCGTCTCAGGACATCTCATGCACCAGAGGCGTGACATTTAGACGCGGATTGAAAACAGAACTGATTTGTTTTCGATGTTAATCAGGGTGAAGTTTGTAGCAATAAGCTCGATAATTATGCAGGCACAAAAAGTCTACCGTCCCATGACCTCACATGAGACCTACTGCTCGCCTACGAGCGTCACATTACAGGGCCACGAAAGTGGCTTTCATTGGTCGTTCATCGATACCTGCCGCTTTTTGATCTCCAACCCTAGGGCTTTGTAAATGCTCTCGAAGGCCACCTTTTCGCCCCTGATTGGCTGACAAGCTTTAACGCAAGATATTGGTGAACTAGCAGTATAAAATGTGCCCGATCTCCTATATTGTTCATATCCTTTCATCCGACTGTGTTTGCACATCTTGGGATTATCTTCGTAAATGGTCGAGTAAGTCTACTAGAAAATTCTTAGTTTCTGCCTATTTAGTAAGAATGTGGCAAGAGAAATATTCTCTCTCCTGGACAATGACGGATCAGGATTAGTCAAAGCGTCCGACCTCCTGGAGGCGTTTAATGGGACTGGTCTCGACGTGGCCGAGGTTTTCCCGTTGATCACAAAACACGATCTCAATGGAGACGGTACTCTAAGCCTAAAAGAGCTGGAAAGCATGCTTCAAGAGGTCCACCGGAAAACCAGCAGAGTCACTGTCTGATTATCCAGTTTCCAAAAACACCCAATCTTACGGCATTTATCATCATGATCTATAACTTTTCGATCATGGTTTTATTTTTGCAACCTGTCAGATTTGTCTTCGGAGCAAGGTTCAATTTCTCCAAATCTGAGAGCATGTGTCTGAATGTACAAATGAATATTTAAAGAGAAATCTTCAAACTGTAAAAGATTTTCTGTTTGCAACATTATCGACCCCATTGAGGGCGTCATTAAGGCAAATGTCGGGTTGCGTGACCGCGTTTGGCGACTACGTGTACTTATGAATGGCTAATCGGGTGCTGGTTATACCTTGTCCTAAATTAGGGTCACAAGGTATGGTTTTTAACACTGCGCTCCAGGCAAGGTGAAGAACGGCTCTGAGCTTGGTTGGGCCAGTCGAAGAACTGATTAAAAACCTTCTCGAATTGACTGGCCCTTCGCGTAACTTAACCTGCCTTCCGGTGGAATTTCGGGGTTTCAGAAGTTTGCTCAAGTTTGGGGGTTAGAAAAGTGCTCAAAATGGTTTTGACCTATACTCCTTATTCGCTCAGGGCTCCAAATGTGGTTTCCAGAGATATTTAATTAGTATGTCGCACAAGGAAACGCGAAAGTGCCTTCAAACAAAAGTTCACCTGTTTTGATTTTTCCCACTTAGAATATAGGAGGGGCGGACTGGAACTGCCTGACGAAAGGATACTGGCACCGCTATTCGTTGGACTTTTACAAACATTTAAATCGTTTCTGGCGCCAAAAATTCGCTCTACCAAACTTAAAAACTGTCAACGCAGTTGTTGGGACAGCTCATGTGTACATGAAAGCAGCTTTTACCATCCTGCTTCGTGTCTACTTCCTTCTTGAAAGTTGCGAGAATGAATTTTTAGATCATTTTATTCGTTTATATCAATTGGGGGACTTTCACGAAAAGAGTTGGATTTCTTGGATGGCTACATACAGGTGGACATATTTTATATAACCATCGACTAACCCCTTTATATTTACGAAGTATTTCTTCGAAGAAAATTAACCATTATGCCATAGTTGTAATGCTGGACCGCAGATTAGTTTTAAAATCGCAAGTGGGAACGGTTCACAATCAAACTCACCTAATCAACGTAATTCAACTTGCTGTTTTCTAAAAAGGGTTTCCGAAATCCATGAAATTTGTGTGCCGTACAGATAGGAAATGTCTCACATTAATAAAATTGCACCACTTCTTCTGAAAGTCAGATGTGCCTGACGGCTGATAGACTATTTTCGCAAAATGTTCCTAGAACAAATCCCCTTTAAAAATTTGATTTGAATGGTGTATCAGTTTTATTCTGAATGAGTGCCAATTTGTCGGGTGATTTACGTTAGGGACAAATCAATTTTTTTAAGTTAATGAAAAGGAGTGTTTTGCTGGCAACAGTTCTGAAAACTTTACCTTCAGGCAAAGCGTGCTTCAGTCCACGCATTCTTGCCTGACTGGATCCCACCACGCAAACAGCGTCAGTTGGTTTGAAACTCATCTCCGATGCAAAACATTCCTGCGGTTAGCGCGCACCTGGTAAACCAGTCTGAAGCACGTGCTTGGCACCTACGCTCTGACCCATGTCAATCCAGTGCACAAGATGAGTTGTTTCTACGGTCGGCTTTTCAATGATTCGGTCTCCCAGAGCAGGCTTGGATTAACCGAGGCCTACCAACAACACCAAACGACCTTGACCCAGTTGTATTAGTTCTCCGGCTTTTCTACCTGGGTTGCCTGAAGAAGGTGAAAAGGCCCATAAAAAGATTTGAATTTCAGCATATTTTTGCTTGTCTTCAAGCTGGTTCATGAAGGTAGGATTTTTACCTTTCAAACTGCATGGAGGCATTTCCGGAACTAATATGCTGTCGCGCGCTTTTTGCTGGTTGACTCTCTACAGATGATCTACAGTCCGTCCAATCTCAGGAAATGTTGACCTAACTTCTGAAATGGATTTTCAGTTAGGAAGAATTACTTAAGTGGGGTTGTAATAATGATTATCTAACAGCATAATCTAAGGAGGTTTTGGTTTTCAAATTTGTCTCTCCTTTGCCGTTCACAAAAGCCGCACATTGTGAAGTATGATTGCTCAGGCAGTATGCCCTTTTCGTTTTTGTCAAATGTTCCTGTAAATTAGAATATATTTTATACACAAATGCTTCTGAGAAGATAAGGCGATCACAGGAACCATGGATTTATTTGCCTGACGTTTCGAAAGCAGACAAGCTTCCATCATCGGAGGTGGGTTGCGTACTGCACGTCACAGTATTTATGGGTTTTCCTTCGTGCTGGCGTGTCATTGACTTCCAGCGCGCTGCATCACACGGTATGGCGATGGTTGTCATGGCGGCATCGGTTCCTCCTCATCCATTGTCGGGTGTGGGGAGGGGAGCGGCGCCGGGGTGACCGCGGACATTGCTCTTGTTTGCATTGTCCATTGTCCGCCCTCGACGCATCTCGCCTTCCTGCCCCATTCGCACCTGCCCGTAACCGCGTGGACGGTGGTTGTCATGCCACTGTTGACGTCGGGCTGCGGGGTCCTGTCACTGTCGTGGGGCCTCCTCTCGCTGTCCCATTCCCACCTGCCCGTAACCGTGTTTACGGTGGTTGTCACGCCACTGTTGACATCAGGCTGCGGGGTTCTGGCACTGTAGGGCGTTCTCATCGAGTGCTGGCGTCTGTCTGCGTTCGGACCCAGAAGGCGGTCTCCTGGGTTTGCGTCCGCCGCCGGTTGTCCCCCGGTTTCGTCCGTTCCCGGTGCCTGTCTATGCCCGTCCGCGTTCCCGCTTGGTCCGGGTTTGATTACTGCTGTCTCTGGCCTGACAACCCGTCGGTAGCCCTGCCCGTTGAGCTTCATCCGTAGGGCTTGGTAGGCAGCCGGCAGAGGTACGCATCGGTTGATTGAGGTAGTTGTGGCGTGCCAGGTTTCGAGCGTCTCCCTGACCGTTTGATCGCTCCCTTGGCCTAAGGCTTCGGCGTCTTGGAAAGCGAAGGCGTGGCCAAAAGCTGCGCAATGTTCTGCCACCAACGAGAGCTGATCCATTCTTCGTACCGCTCTTGCGTGCTCGTCCATGCGGGTCTGCAATCTCTTCCCGGTTTCTCAAACGTAGTTTGCCTCGCAGGAACTACACGGGATCCGGTAGACGACGTTGACAGTTTCGCCTCGTGGCAGAGGCGTTTTTGGTCTCATGACCAAACGTCTAATTGTCGCTTCGGGTTTGTGGGCGATGCCGATACCCAGTGGTTGCAAGATACGAGCAACTGCCTCGGAAAAGTTCGCAATATATGGCAGCGCTCGCCAGACTTTCGGCTGATTTGCCGTTGACTTTACGGTTGGTCTGGACAGTCTGCTGCGTTCTATAAAGCTGCGGGGGTAACCGTTGGAGGTGAACATCCGCCGTAGATAGTGGAGTTCGGCTACCTTGTCGGTCGGTTCGCTGCAGTGAGTGTCAACTCTCCTGTAGAGAGATCGAACACAACTTCGTTTGTGACACAGCGGGTGATTGCTGTGGTAGGACAGGATTTGGCGAGTGTTAGTGGCCTTCCTGTAGACCGTGGTTTTCGGGCTCCCGTTGACCTTGCGATGGACTAGAACGTCTTGAAACGCGATCTGATTGTTGTTCTCTGTCTCCATGGTGAATTGAATATCGGGAAGAACAGAGTTCAGTAGCGCGTGGAAATTCGATACCATTTCCCGTTTGAGAACGACGAAAGTGTCGTCCACATATCGCGCCCAAAATTTTGGCTTATATGTTGCGAACACCAATGCCTCCAGCTTTTGAAGAACAGCTTCAGCGATGAAACCGGATAGTGGTAAGCCCATCGGCGTACCTTTGATTTGTTCGTACACAGTCCCTTCAAATGTGAAGAACGTTTGGAGACAGTATTTAAGCAGTTACACCAGGTGCCCCCGCCTAGGAGCATTGTTTGCCTCCGTGTATTGGCTGTCGAGGAGGTCGCTGACAGTTTCAACTGCCAAATCCTTTGGGATCGAGGTGAAAAGCGAGGTTACATCGAACGACACCATGACCTCGTCTGTGTTAATTTGCAGGCCTTTCAGTCTTTCCAGGAAATGGACGGAGGAGCGGACCGTCGTGTTGGAGTCCGAGGTGAGGCAGTTCAGGCGTCGGAACATCCATTTGGCCAGGTTGAATGTGGGTGTCTCGCGCTAGGATACGATGGGACAAAGTAGGGCACCATCTCTGTGTATTTTGGGCAGCCCGTAGAACCTTGCCATGGCAGCATCAGTCGGTTTGGTGGCCAGTCGTTCTGCCCTCGTCATCGCGCCATTATTTTGTACCATGGTGAGCGTCGTACTTATTTGCGTCACCAGCTTCTTCATGGGGTCTCCATCGCACTTGACGTACGCTCGCCTGTCCTCAAGCAAGGAATTGGCTTTCTGGAGGTACTCGGCCTTGTCAAGTATAACCGTCGATCGCCCTTTGTCTGCCGGTAGGTTCACGATACTCTTGTCCGCCTCCAGCGACCTGAGGGCATCCTGCTGTGCTCTCTCTTCTTTATACCCTTCTTTGTACATATTTTATAGTCAATCATGTGCTATTTAAATTCTTCACTTCCGGCTTTGGAACGTTTTTTCAACCTTGTTGTACTTTTTAGTCTAGCCTGCTGACACATTTGTTTCTAGAAGTTAGAGTCTAAACGCTGTATATCATTCATGTAGGAAAGATCACATGCAGTCGAACCGCGGTATTCGCGTGAACAAGGGACCACAACCACTCGTTAATAGATGACATCCACGAAAAATTTAGACCCCAATAGAAACGTTTATACTATAGACTTTAATGTTTATACATTAAATATATTTCTAATTAGTATTCTAACACGCTTTAGTGTTATTTCAAAGCCATCGTATAACATTGCCTTTAGAATACACGGCTTACAGTTTAAAACTGCAAATGTCACTATTACTAAGCGAAACCTGATCAATTTACCACTAAAGTTTAGCACACATGCCTTCGTAAAGTCTGGCAATGAATATTTTTTTCACAGAAAGCATTGTTAAACAGAAAGGTGGGGTTCCATTTGGATGGAAGTAGCGTGGTCTTCCAAAACCCTACAAATGGTAACAATTTTTATGCCAAGAGATGCATTTTTTCTAGTATAATATCTAAGGACGGCATGACTGCCTACCGAATAAGTACAAGAAAGAATATTTCGAAAAGCTGACTATACAAAATCTGAATCTACAAGGGCATCGAGAGCAAATGGAACAAATCGCATTGCTTACGTAGTCATTTTAACGAGTTGGACTTCTGTAGATGGCTGAAAATTAATACATTCCAAACCGAAACGTCGCATTTAACGCCAAAAAAGTTTATAAGAGAAATATTAAAAGTTGCATGGTGTTGTTTAAGCACAGCAATATTCATTATAAGAACGGAAATACCAGAAACGTCAAAGATTGCTGTTACCGAGCAAACTTACGTCTTGGATGTGCAGAAAGCCTGCCAACATAGATAACTCGGTAAATAAAACAGCGCAGATACAATGGGGTTTGAAAATAGTCCGTTGGGGAAGTTTGCACTTGAATATCATATTGGAATTAGTGTAATGCAACGAATGGTCATTGGTATATATCCTATAGTTTTAGTTTAAATTCTAAAATGGTCTCATGAGAAATTACTTCATTTTTCTGGCAGGCACCTCTAAGCACTAAAAGTTTTCATAAGCTCACATATAGATAGGTCGGCCAGGGATTAGTAAATGTGAGTAGAATTGGCAAATTTAATTATAAACAGACCGTTTTGTGTATATTAATAGGACTTTCCTTCCGTCAAATTTCCTAAGAGCCTTTTCTTTGTTTAAAGTAAAGTGAGTTTTAGATCGCCATTGAAATATCAGCGAATATTTCCCAAACGTCAGTGTTCTCGGTGAATTGTCCATAGAGATAGACTCTGTTTTATGTGTTAATTGAGAATTCGGAAAAAGATGTATCTAGAATACATTTAACAAATTAGTGTAGGTGATTGTTCGGATTTCAAAAGTAGATTCATTCAAAGAAGAAACCTCGTCGCCGAAAAAATGATCGTCCACAACAAAATTCGGCAATGTATACGCTTTAGATCAATTAAAAAGCTTTTTCTTGTATTTTATCTCTTTAGAAAGTCCTTTAACATGGTGGTTTTATGACAAATGCCCACGTACTTTACATTTTCTAAAGTAAAGGTAAAGTTAAAGCTGAAGCGTTGTGCAACTTTTTACTTCCCTGAGACAAACTGCTAAGTCTTCTTTGAAAAACGAAAATGCGCTCTTTTCTCCTTTCACTGGGGCCATTTTGCCATATTTGCTTATGATAACGTTCCGATCTATAGTTAAAAATGCACGGTAGGGTGGTTATATGACTATAAAGATACTGCGAAAACTGCCAGTCTTCTGCCCATCTCGTTTCTAAATCAAGGATCGGTGGAAAATTGACAGTACAACTTGTCTTGTCATGATTAAAATTGACACGACCGCGTGATAGAGGGCTTGTTGGTGTAAGCTATTAAATAATCGCAAAGAATAAAAATATGCGTGAACTTTTAAAAGATAACCCGTAGGTGTTGTAAATGGATTGTAGAACAAAATGCTGCGAATCCGATTGTTTAAAATTTATTTAGTATCTGCTTTTTAATAGTAATCAGGTTTACACCGTGCTCTATCTTATCTACAGTAGGTGTGTTAACTCATGAAATGTCAACCGAAATTCTAAAATGCGTTTTCGTTTCGAAAAGAATAGTTAAGTAGTGTTGTAAAACTAGTCAGCCGTCAACACAATTCTATAATATTTCAGTCACTGCAGAATGCCAACTTTCAAATGAACTTCATTTCGGCTGCATGCAAACAAAATATGTAAAAAATAACTACTTGCTTAGTGTTAGACTTTCTCATTGATTTTCGATGCCCCTAAGTGCCCAATTATAGTTCAAGGAAAAAATGCATATAAATATGCATTATTTTGCTCCTTGTGTAGAAAATTACGTCTTCTTCTAATTTTTTACTCAAAGGAGGGATATGATTCGGTTTTAAAAACATTTTTCAATTCCCGAATAATTTTAAACCCGACCTGCCATTACACTTGCATTCAGCGTTTCCAAATTACAAGCTGTATATTTTCCACTTAAAGAAAACCACATGTTATTCCCTACCGCATTAAAAAGGAGACTATATGGGGTTCATAGAGTTTAGCAGTGGATTTGAGCCGTACCATTAGCTTCACAAGCCACATTGGTAAATGCGGAGACATGACTATTTATGAACGGCGATTTCACGGTATTAAAAAACCCCACAATTAGAAACCTTTTAAAAACCGAATTAAACCCTTTCTTTGAGCATAAAATTGGAAGTCGTACTTTTCTACCGAATGAGTAAAAGAATAAATATTTTTATGCATGTTTTTCATGAAATGTAATTGAATTTTTAAAGGCATCGAAAATAAATGGGAAAAAGTCATGCTACCTAAGTAGCCATTTTTAACAGATTATTGTTTTTGAATGCAGCTGGAAGGAAGTTCTTTCGAAGGCCGCATCCTGAGGTAACTGAATTATTATAGGACCATGTTGCATGTTGATTAGTTTTACAACCCTGTTTAATTAATGTTTTTGAAGCAAAAACGCATTTCGGAATTTCAGTTGACATTTCATGGGTTAGCTCACGTATTGTATCTGTACGGCTATTTCCAACTTCTACTCGAAGAAAAGGTGTTTTGCGACTTCTAAAACCTTTATAATTACGAAAAATGTTTAGGTAGGTGTCTATATCTGTCCGTCTAGTAATGCCACTTATACAGTAGGGAACGCGGTCCATACCCATTGCAAAACATTAGGACTACCAAATGGAACCTTGTTAACAACACCTTGCATCAAAGGTGTGTAGCAGCAGAATTTGAATTCCCAACACAAGCAAAACGGCAGACCTAAATGAAAATTATGCAATAAGTAAAAACCTTTTAGGACCGCGTTATACCCCTTCTTCTACAGAAGGATTTATGGAGACGCAACCTACCTCCAAATTAAGGCCAAAAAGGATCTTCTGTGCATGCTTCCTACAAAGAAAGGTTAGATGCACAGCGACATCGAGAAAAGTAAACTAAATCAATACAACATGCAGTACGTCCTAGACTCCGGTTAGGCATCCGAGCGACTTTCTCATCGAAAGGTCCTATGCGCGCAGAAGAATTTCGTGCAGGCCCCACAGTTACCATGGGCCAAAGCCACCAAGCCAGACACCCGCATGTAACTGCATTCGCCGGGACCCACCTTCCCCCTGGCGCCGACTGGAATTATGGTGTCTCACCCTCCCCCTCCCCCTCCCCTACCCTCCCCTATCTACCCGTATCTTTTGCATTCATTACTTCAATAGCCGTATAAATGTACAGGCCTGAAGAGAATTTATCGAAAGCAAACGTATGCTCGCCAAATTGCCTTTTGAATTTTACAATGGGAATTTTCGCAACTCGAAAGGATAATAATTTACCCGCTAGAGTTTTAATAAACAGATTTATCTGAACTTGTAAATTTATTTTATGTCCGATGTTAAACGTGGTAATCAGCCTGCTAACACAAAGGTTATGTTAGGAAAACCAGAGGTTTTATCAATTCCCAGATGTCAGATTAGCAGATCTGTGCCCTAAAATGCAATGATAATGCAGATAAGGATTCCTTCGTTTAAATGGGCTGAAATTGTTTTGCCGTCTGAAAAATTCTACCTGATGTCACATAAATGACCACCACTGAATGGCCATTTTCAGTTTTGAACATATGAAACACTACTTGTAATGTAGTTTAGCTACTACGCATACAAAATATCAGTATTTATATGGGCAGTCAGCCGTGCATTCATAACCGAAGAACGGAGTCTAAAAAACAAAATCAGTCTAAATGGCTGCAATATATACAGATAGGCATCCTCTTATGTTTACGGCAGAAAAATACTAGTATTGCTTAGGAACGTGAAAGAAACGGCCAAAAGTGTCAAATTGTTTTCTTGGTCTCACCGTGCAAAATTGTAAAGTACACAGAGCTCCGTTAGCGGAGTGCAGTATCGATCAAAGGCATATTCGTTGCTGACTTTCTTTGTGGACAGTCATTTTTTCTCGAAAAAGAAGTTTAATGTTTGAATGAATCCTTACGTGTGACCCAAACGGCTATCTTCGTGAAAAGGAGCGTCCGAACACTTACTAATTCGGTAAATGCCTTCATGAATAATCTTATTTTATAGTTCTCAATAGACAGGTAATTCAGAATCGGTCTTTATGGATGATCCGGTGAAAACACTGAAAATCATGAAGTATTCAGCAAAATGTAGAGGCCGATCTGGCACTTAACGTAATCCAAAACGAATGAAAAGTGTACATTAATTTAACGGAAGAAGTATTCTCTCTATAAACACAAAAAGGCATGTTTACGATCATGCCTGTCAGTTCTATTTAAATTTATTAGATACCGAACGACCTCATAGCATGTCACCTTACGAAAACTTTTGTTCCTACGATGTCCAGCATCGGTGAAATAAGCAAAACCCAGTTTCTATTGTTTA